TATGAGGTGATGATTTTACCCTCCTAATACTTCTAAAAAGGCAAATGAAAGTATATGCAAGCTTTGTGTATTATATATAAGTTTTCCTAAGGCAGATCTCACACACTGACATTTTAAGACCTTAATTAAGGTTGATTTATTTACAAATGGTATGTTTTCAACTCTCAGAAATGTTGTATTTAATGTTTTATTTTTAAACACAATTAAAAAATAATATATAAATATATACATACTGCAAATGCAATACAGATAACAAATTCATTTAAGCCCATTTATGCACATTAGTGACACACCATGTGGCAGAAAGACTAGGACTACAAGAAGACCCCTTGGCGATTTATTTTATATTAAATCCCTAATGGCCTCTTCTCATCTTTGCAAAAATATGCACAAAAGTCCAGACTATGCAGCCATTGAAATGAATGGTTATTTATTTGCTAAACGAGAACCCTATGTTTAATGTTCCTTAGACATAAGGTAGTCTGCAAAAGTCGCATTCCTACAGCTCCATACATCATTTATTTTACATACCCTAACTTCTCACAACAGGCATCAAAAAATACTACCAAACCGCATTGCTCTTGTAAGTTGCTGAGAATTTTGTTTCCAATTCCATTACTGGAAGATTAAATGTTAACATGTTTACTTGGGGTTCGCTTCTTGTTTTGTTTTTAGCATTAAAAACAAATTCATGGACCAATCTAATGCTATTTAAAACACATTTACATTTATACTGCAAGAAAGTTCCCAATACATAATATATACACATAATCATTACAGACAGAAAACAAAAGTTCAAACCGTCAAAGAACCATGTTGTAACCTCATTTATTTGGGTGCAACAGTCTACCCAGCACTTGTTTGACATGCTTCAGCTAAGACAGAGGTTCTTGATTTGCTTTACAGAAGTATTAAAAGCATCACTTTTCACAATACAGAAATAAGATTGTCCAAATTTGTAGCATAGTGGCATACCTTACTAATACTACAAAATAGCCTGAAAATTAAACCATCTCTCTGAGATCAGACTATTATTTCATAAGAAGCAGATCCACTGTGCACCCAAACATTTCTAAATCTCCTAAGTTACTTTTGCTGGAACAGCCACTGTGGGTTCCTCTGAGGCGCAAAACCACAAAGAGGGAAATTGTTACAAGAGACAGAACTTTCCATTGGTACCATCCTCAATGCATCTGGACTACTGGAGACTACCTAAGGACAGTCAAGCTTACAGTGGCAGCATGAATTTTCAGGTCACTTTCTTAAAGAAACAGTGTTGGTGGTAGCAGCCTCCATTGAGGCTTTGACATATTCTCTAAACCATTAGCTTTGCACCCCCGTAGAGGTGCCACAGAGATTACACAATCTCTACAACCTGAAAACTGTCTTTATGAGATGTGTGGATGCCATGGTCAGAAACATGAACAAAAACCTCAACAGATCAGTCAGCCTTCAGAACACACATTTTCCCTTGTCTATATCAGCCAGTAGCAGACGATCATAGATCTTGTTTTCAACTGACTGACCTGCTTCTTTGTGGACTAACTTGATTTTCTATATTCCTAAGTTACTGCAAGTTCTGTGAATAGTTAGAAGAAATTTTCATGAATCAAAAGATAAAAGACTTAGTCCAATAAGCACATTATTGATCTATATCATGAGCCATTTCAACTAAACTGAACACTCATGAAATCTGGATTGTTCTCCCAGTGCACTACACTTAAGAAAGCAGAGAACAGAGTTCAGTTTACAAAGGAAGTATTCCTTTCTCAGGTAAAAAAAAATATTACTTTCACAGAAAGTTATATTGAGAAGATATTTCTTGTTTCCAAGAGAATTCTAGCAGAGGAGAAGCAAAATATACTCTCAGGGTATAACATAATGTAACAGAAATTAACTGTAACACACGCACTGAATTTTGTTACAATATCATATGCGTAATCATTATTATGACTTGGGGAAACTTTCTGACAAAAGCAACAAAAATAAATGTAATTTGGGCAGTGTCACTTTTCTTTTGTGGTTCTCTTGAAAAAAAGTGGCTATGCATGTGAAATCCAAGAAGTATATACTCTGACAGCCAGTCACTGCAGAGACGGGTCTGATTTCAACTTACAGCTTTTATGCCACATAAATCCAGGAAGGCCATATCCAAAGGTCTCAAGAAATGCAAAGTTGCATACAGACTCTTACACAAACCTAAACACATCCACACAAAATGACCTCACTGTAGAAAGCACCCTAATGGAAGACACTTTTGCATATTTGTTGATTACTTTAAAAAAATGACCTTGTGTTACTTCTGAAAAAGCAAATACATTAGAGATTCAATACTTGTTGCCAAACCTGTTCTTTACGTTCCCTTAATATTTAATCAGTAATGTCTGTGGAGCAATTTGAAGATGAATAACAAATTGCCATTATTATTGCTGAGAAAATCCTGAAGTCATTAAAGTTTCTGTATTCTGAGCTCATAACAGAATTCTAAACTAAACAGACAGATAGGTTTGGACAGGGTTGTTATTAATTCCCTTATATGTATTGTGCTTCTGACACCGGGTGAAGCAAATACACATGATCCCTGGCTCTAATAAGAGCAAGTTAAAAAGGTCTTCTGCTATTCAAGCACTGTAAATCAAGTGAGTTCAGAAACTGTTTGAACAAAGAGCAGTAAATACAGCAAGTGCAAAACTGATCTCCATTCCAATTTTGAAACTGAGTCCTTTTGTTACAAAGTATAACTTTGCAAACATTATAACAAGAAAAAAAAAAGGCAGTTACATCCCTGAAAAAATAGCCCTTTCTGATGCAAACTATTCACAGCAGAACAACAGACAGCAAATAGCAGGCGAAGGTATCTGTAACTTCCTGAAAAAAATCCCATTAAAAATACTAGTAATAAAAGTACTTAACAGATTGGGCCTAAAATCCATCCTAACACCAGTAAAAAACTGGTCAGTTTGTTCTTACATGCCACCGAATCTTCTTTTTCCTCCACAATGGCCACTAGATATGTCCTAAGAAAAACAATTATGAAACGTACTGCTTGACCACCAGATCTTGACATGGTTTGACCAAGGTATGTCACCATCAAATGTTACACTATCACTTAAAAAAAAAATTTAAAATTTGCCTGCTTTGAGGACCACAAAAACCTAATGTTGCTGAATTCATATTGTGAGTTTCAGCTAAAAAGAAGACCTGTTCTGAGTTACAATTCATTTGAGCATACAGAGTAGCAATGTAAGGTCAGCCATACTTAACTGGAGCTTAGATCTGTGGAGCCAAGGTTTGCATTCTACATAATCTATGAAATGCGATTAAAAGAAAAATAAATAAAAAGAAAATGTAATGCTAAAGGTAGCTCCTAATTACTGGCTCTGTCCACCATTCATTGAAAGTAAAGTAAAAGAGAAAGATTTAGAACAAAAGAAGAGGAAGATTTTATTAAGAATTTTTTTAAATCCCATTTTCTCTTTGGGGTATTTTACTTAACACACTCTTCCTCATCCCTTTTCCTCCCAACCTTGGCACAATTTTCAGGATCAAATGGTTCATAAAGCAGTGCACGTTTGGTGGTAAAGATTGCTTAACACTGAGAAACTAATCAAGAGACTAATAGATTCTGCTTCATTTCTTCAAGCTTTGCTACCTAACTTGCTTTGTGTATTTTAGTATGCTAGTAGAAACCTATGGATTATTATTAGCTGGATTGCACCACAAACTTTTTCGACCACAGAAGTACCTTATTTTTTGTAAAATTAATTACAAGAGACATACGGTAAGAAATCTCTTAGGACATACAAGGGAATCCCAGAATATTCTGAGTTGGAAGGGACCAACAAGGATTAAGTCCAGCTCTTAAGTGAATGGTCCATACAGGGATCAAACCCACAACCTTGGCATTATTAGCACATGCTCTAACCAGCAGAGCTAATCTCAGAGTTAAGAACTATCCAAAAGATATTTTTCTTTTTTAGTACCATTTGAGGTAAAAAAAGTTTTGATTAAAATAAACTGCAAAATTATGAGATGACAATTTCTTCTGCATTTCAAATACTTTCATATGAGTGACCTTCGGACAAATGGAGAGATTGAAAATTACAAATATACACTCTACAAAAGTGTTTTTGTTATTGAGATTTTCTGCAGTCTGCTTAGTTTTCTTATTAATCAGTGTATCAGTATGCAAACTTCCATCAGAAATAAGTGTCATGTCATAATTGTTCAGTGATCTAAGCACTAATATTTTTAAATGCCAGTAACATTAATATGTATTTCAGATAGATAGCTACTGACAGCCATAACACAAATTGTCTTGAGATAATGATACAAAACTTATTACACAAGAGTTTTCCCTAAGAAATTACACAATGTTTGGGACTGTTCAAGAAAGAAGATCAAAGCAGTCACTTTCACGCTATCTCAGGGATATTCATAAAAATAAATCTATAGTTTTGATTCAAAAGATCAAAATTTTACAAACTTCTGCCCCACTGAGGTACTTCTCTTTCTGGCAACAGATATTTAATTTAGGCAATGTGGCAATGGACTTCATTACACTTCATTATAGTTTCAAGATAGGCTTTTGGAAGGCATGAAGGCATATCCTTCCCTCTCAAAAAGCCTAGAGTGTGTTAGAATGGCTTTATAAATTATATGCCATACTGTAAGTGAAAGGTAGGACAAAGTCCTAGTTAGTAACTACCTACTGAAGTACAAGGGAAAGCTCACAACTGCAATTCACCCAAAGGCTGCAATTTTCTTATGCCATTGTTTGAACACATCATGGTAAAGTCTAATGGGAGGGAATAATCAGGTGCATAACAACGTAAGTCAGACAACAAACAGCTACTGCTTCTACCAAAGTTAATTAAATCACTGAAAATTCTGCTCATGTGTAATATTGAGAAAAAAACTTGTTCAAAATCTTTATTAAAGAACTGCACCCCTATGCAATAAGGCTGTCTACCTACTATGTTGTTTAAGTTTCCTCTTACCTCCAGTGTCACGTACACAGTGCTAATTGCTACTTTGACTTCTCCATCCGAAATCTCCTTGAGATCCTTCAGCATAACCTCCTCAATACTCACACCTGTTTGAGAAGAAACAGGAATTTCAATATATACAAATATCTACAGCTGACAGATGCATCAACACAAATTAAAAACACAGCTTAGACCTTAATGCTGAGGCTTCTGTATTTCAGGACAATCCTATGAGAAAATTAGAACCAATATTAATTTCAATGCTTAATGTTTATAGAGGGACTTTTTTAAGAAGGGAGGGGACACAATAACAACAAAGATGAAGAACTAAGTCTTCTGCAACGCAGCTGGTATTTTTCAAGTCAGCTTTACTCCAGTTGATGATGAATGTATAGACAGACCATTCCTATGATCTAATACGAAATCACTAATATAAAATACTTCTGGAATGAGCAATACATTGAAAAGCACCTGTGGAATACCATGGTGTTTAAAAAATACTCAGAAGCAAAACATTTAAGATATTCTCTAAGCACAAAGTCATTCAACCTTTCTAACCTTTTTCACGAAGAGATAACACCAGTAGGTTTTTCTTATGTACATCAAATCATTAACGTACTGACTAGATGTTAACATACCATACAAACATTAACATCAGAAACAATTGTGTAAAATTGGAATTATTTCACATTGCAACTAGACATATTTATATGTTTAAGCACAATGTAATGAAAATCGAAGTGACTAAGTTTCCCTAATTGAAGATGTCTGCCTAAATGCTGTAAAGATTCTCAAAATAAACACATGTTATATAGAGGAACATAGTCACATCAGATGATAAAAAATAGAGACATGATAGCGAAATGTCTATGTAAAGAATGCTGCTAGCCATGTACCCCAGTGTATAGTGGCATTTAAAATGTCCATTGACTTTTAAAGCTTAGCAGTATAACATCCAAAATGTGTTTGCATGACTGATTTTTAAGAGGGAAAAAAAATACCAACTTAAGCCTAAGAAATGACTCCTTTCATTACTGTTCCTGTACAGAGTCCAGCTACTGCATTCAGTCTAGTGACAAGATGAACATTTATTTATCTGTCATTTAAAAAATACTTGTACATAACTTGTAGACTTTCTGATGGGCTGCAACCTACTGGTTCTCAAATAACAAATGAATTTGTGAATTCAGGCCACTGAATCATTCTTTCTGCATGAAACTGAGAACTTTGTTTTGCTGAAATGTCCTAATACTGCCTCAAATAACAGGTAGATAAGGTAAAATATTCAGCAGAGTTTACAACCTTCAAAGGATTTCAGAAACTCAGCAGCACCTTAATAATACAAGTGTCATATGAATAAATGCAGTGTTAAATATGTACCTTGTAATACACAGAGAACACCAGCTATGAGATAAAAAAGGGCATGACAGTGCCCACCTTATGCAGCATGTATAAATTACTGGCAACTGATACCATGCAGACTAAACCGATCCTATCTACTTTGCATTTGATATTAGGAAAACTATATGAGCCAAGTACTGAAGCATCTTCCTAGACAACTGGCAGAACTAAGAACAGAACTCCATAAAAGCCACTTTCACTGTGTCTCTCCAATCTAGACTCCATTCAGTTAATTTCTGAACTATGATTACTTGATTGGAAGAACTTCAGGGAACTATGTGAAGATTTATTGCCCTGAACTAATCTAGCTTGCAACCTCATTGAAAGAAAGGGCAAAGGAAGCAGCACTCCAAAGTCTGTTGTTATATATCAGATAGGGCAGCCATCTCAGGCTGATGGTCTGAATTCCTATGACTGATTGCTGCAGATGGGTGAACAGAGAATGGTAAAAAAAGATCATGTGTCTGCATGAACCCTGTGCATACCTGACATACCTAAGAAAGAAACATCTCACTAATTTAATACTTGCTCTTTGGTAACAATTTGGTAGCAAATGCCAGTAAAAAAATTTAAGAGTTCTTGCAACAATTGTCTTCCGGCTTTTAGAGCATCCCCTCAAAAGCCTGCTACAAAATTTTGGGTTCAAACATTCCCACTTTTGATCACTAAATATTTTAATTTGATATTTCTAGCAGAAGAAAAGAATTGCAATTTTCCTACTTCTTCCTTAATCTTAGTCTGGTGTCAAATTCACTTAATCTATACACAGTCCTTGGTAAAACTGGGAAGGATCTTAGAATAAAATCCACTTCCACACCATGTAGGTAGTTTCAGTACAATTTCTGCATGTGGGTTGACGCATTAATTAATGATAACTCACAATTTCATGATTCAGAATGTAAGCAACTTAATTTAAAATTAAATATAACACATTTAACTGTCATTGAAGATAGCATGCTGCAACTATTTTCACCACACACACTAAGACAATATTCTGATACAGTTATATAAATATATTTGTAACAGGTCTGAAAAATGGAAGCAAGTTGTATTACCTTGTGCATTAAACTGAGTCTCCTGGAGTACAGAGATAATTTCCTCTCGTGGGGGAAGATCTGGAAACTTTTCCTCTAGGATTGACAGCACTTTCTCCTGCTGCTCTGTGATACTGTCAGCTTCCAAAGACATGCACTTGAAAAGAATGCTTCCTGAAACATTGAAAGACAAAAATCAATGCCTCCTGTAAATATCAAAGAGGTACTACAGAATCAAGAATGTTTACTGTATTGCTATCCAAGCCCCTTCTTTCTTGGAGGTTGTTTCCACTGATGTGTTCACTGAATTAGATATTGAACTCACACAGAAACATCCTCCTAACATGAAACTTCTAAAATCTGAACTGGGTGCCTTTTCAGTGCCTATGGTAGAGCTAACTGGCTGGTCTCAGTGCTGCCACAGTGTGCAGCATGCTTCTGTACACCTACAGTTCTGCAGCATGCCCAGCAGCAAGTGGCGGGACACCAGGGTTTATCCCCCTCTCTAAGCATTAGCCAAGTGCTGGTATACTTTGAAACAGTAAATCCACACTGCCAGTCTTTCTTCTACAGACATGTCAATTAACTGCTATAATGGACAAAAGGAAAGAAATACTTTACTGTGAGGGTGGTGAGATAATGGAACAGGTTGCCCAGAGAAGTGGGTACCATACCACTGGAAGTTTTCAAGACCAAATTGGATGGGGCTTTGAGCAACCTCATCTAGTAGAAGGTGTCCCTGCCCATGGCAGAGGAATGGAACTACGTGATCTTTAAGATCCCTTCCAACCCAAACCATTCTATGATTTTAATTCCATGAACATAGCAAAGAAACACCTATTCAGTCAATCAAAATAATGCACTCAAAATTTAAGAGAAATATAATCCAATAAATAACTTCAACTCTTACAATACAGAGGTGAGAGTAATGTCTTTTCAGACAACTGTGTACTTCACATATTCCATCCTGAATGTAAAACAGTCCTGATTGTTCAGGGTATAAAGTCACCTTTTCATTCTCTGGAGATTGGGGTCCCATTTGTTAATATACTCAAAGATAGTGTTCACTTCCAATTACTCATGGTAAATTAAGGATAATAAAATCTTATACTTCAGCATTGAAATTATTTATTACTCTGCTGTGCACAGGGATTTCAAACAAGTGTGTGATTGTATTGTATTGTGTTGGCTCAATGAGCAAATCAGTACAATAACATAAGATAGTTACTATAAACCAAAGTGTTTAGTCTTTAGTACAGAGTGAAGCAAGTAAAAGAAAGCCCTGGACACAGCCATCCTCAATCTCACTAGATGGATTAGGACCCAAACATCTAGTATGTATCAATTTTTCTCCTATACTGTTATCACATAAAATACCAAAAAGCATTTCTTCAAAATTCACAAAACACTTGCAATTTTGCAATGCTAAGTAAACACCTCCTTATTAGACACATCCCGTGTGAATTAAATAATAAATAATGCTTAACAAGACAAAAACTGTTCCCTGTCAGATATTAGTTTCTGGAAATTAAAATACACGAAGTTCCATTCTGTGTTTCTGTTACAGATATTTTAACTGCCAATAATCTTTTAATTCGCAGCAGCTATTTCTTCATGCCAGTCCTACAATCACTTAAAGACAATGCTCCTGCTCTATTTGATAGCATTAAATATATTAAATAAATACAGACTGCATGAAAATCAGGTATACTGACTAACATTAACATTTGTAGATTTAGGTACACAAAAAACGGCTCCACAGCAAGCAGATTTCAGATTTCTACAGGTAAATAACTGATATATAAAGGACCCAGGATATCTATACCCATTAGCAAAGCCTATTTTTCCTTTCATAGGAAGAAAGTTTCTCAATCAGCAGCCTCCAAGATAATTCATCTAAAAATACCCCTTTGTCGTTCAACCTCTAACCAGGTAACAGTGTCTGTGCTGCATATATACACTTGAAACATACAGCTGTCCATACCTTGGGAAGGGTGGTGACCAGAATGAGTTAGACACCCCATAGCACACTCCCAGTCAGCACAGAGCTGCACCTCGATAAATGGCAGCTCAGTGACCAGGCTGCATAAATTATTTTAGCAACAGCAAATTTCTGCTTTTTCAGCACTCCTTTTATCCTCCTCCAGGAGCAGAAAGGGAAATTGCTCATGTACACACAAAGGAAACGGAGACTCCAGTAGAAAGTACTGGATCCACAATGCATGCTCAAATTCATCATACAATTACCTACTGGAGGGAGACTGCAGCATACCCCATACAGCCCTCCAGCAGCACTAGGATGAGTTAGGCAATCTATCCATTTGCACAGATCCTCAGATATGCAGTATGTAAAACTTCTATCACAGCTGTGTGTGCTCCAGGGAACAGAGTATTTGGGTAAGAAGATAAGATCTTAATACAAACACACAGGAAAAAGCAGTAGAACAAGTGATGTGAGTTGTACATCCAACCAAGCTCAACATTTTGGAAGTCAACATGATGTGAGCTTGACTCACCATAGGCAGAGGGCTGAGATAGTTTTTAAAAGACTGTTTTTCTCACTTGTCATAGCAATACTGTAGTGTTGCAATTGCTAACTTCTCTACTAGGATGAAATCAAGAAAAGGATCCTTCTCATATTACTAGGTGTCCGCAAGCCCTAAGATGAACATTTACTCATCCTTTAATACTATGATCATTCTTTAATACTATGCTCATCAGCAGGAAAGAAAGGCACATCTCTTCTCTCTCAGGCATCCTCAACATTCCTGTGAGGGCTAAGATTCCAGGTAGTTTAGAAAAACAGTTCACTTAAGGTACTTTTGACCAAAGGTCAGTAGTCTGTTTAGTCATGTGCTGTCTTGGAAGTAACTGCTGTAAAAGCAATACACAGTCTCAGAAATCTCCTGCAGATTTTACTGAGTGCTTGTGCAACTCCCCCAGGGTTTCTGAAAGCATAATGGAGGCTGCTGTTTGCTGACAACCACAGAAAAAATATATAATAGGCAATACAAGATTCAATATTATTTCTTGTGTACCTCACACCACTCTACATATATTTTTTTCCAAAGAAGAGGCCACTAGAAAATAGGTTAAGGCTCTTAAAAAAATGTGCCTTCTGTTCTTTTTTTGCAAAGTGATTTGGAAGTGAAGCACTAGTTTTGCCAAAAGCAATTGCTGTGCATTAATATTAAACATGATCTAATGAAAGCAGAAGTCATTTTGGGAAACCATTACGAAAAGCACAAGCATCTCCTGAATTATAAGTTTATGGCTGAGAGAAACAGTACAATGAAAATATAGGCATTTCTCCTGTCAAGGAAATATAAAGGACAGAGAAAAGAGGAAAACCAACAGTCCCTCATGGAAAGTAAACTTCAACACTCTGCACTCCCTCACAGCCTCCACAAACCCAAACTGTAAACAGATCCAAGAAAGCAATCTGCATTGTAATTAATATGAAAAGCCATGAAGCTGCAACACAATGTAATATGGAGGAAGAGAGTAGGAGTACTGTCTCCAAAAAAGCTGCTTTCACACATTAAAAAGAAAGGCATCTGTCCAAGTAAGCGCAGTGCTTGGTGCAGTTAAAAATGATCCTTTCTTTCTGGCCTATATACTAAGGATGCATCAATCCAGGAAGATGTGAATCATCTGATCGATGTACAACACAGAAAAAAAATATTGGCATAATTCCTAGAGTCCTTAGAAGGACATTTCTTAACATTTGTCTGGGTGGCTAGAATAACAAACTAATCTTCTCTAATAAAAGTCAGACTGCCCCAACAGGGTATGAAAAGACCTCAACTATGCAGCTCATAACTAGCAAAAGCAGATACATATAAAAAGACTGCTGATGCTCTTGCTGTAAATCTGTCTGTATTTACATGTTGCAGTTTGCACCTTGTGGCATCCTTCAAGGCCTTATACAAATAAACATAAGGAGGTATTTTTGAGAGTGCACTGATCCAAGCTACTTGACAGTGAGTGCTTGGAATCACATCCTTGCCAGCTGGCTGCAGCAGACAATGTAATGATTCAGCAGTTTAATGGATCTGAGTTTGGCAACAGTCCCCTTCTAAACATCTCTGGGGAAATAAAAAAATACAGACCCAAGACTGGCAGGTTCTATAACTGTTTGCTTCTGGCACAAATCCAGGAACAGCACAAGCTCTAACTTAAGGCACCTATGGCTATACAACACTGACTCTCTAAGCAGGCTCTAATCAAAGCCCAAAGGTAGAATTAACTTATATCATATCTGATGAGGAGACAAAGATACCAGAAAAGCACTCACCTGAAAAAAAAAATCCTTAAATATTAAAATGCCTAAATCAATAATGCTTGGTTTCACACAAAAAGTCTTTCCTCTTGACTTTTTTTTTTTTTAACACAGACAAGCAGGTGAAGCTTGTTCAAAGTTGAAATGTAGCAGGTTATAAACATCTGCCCTTGTTACTGAAATTTAAAAGTTGCCAACAGACTTTGAGAAAAAAGAAGTTTGGAAAAGAGGCAGTAAATGGAGCTGTCATGGTCACTACACGATAATTATTAAAATTTTAGATACTTCTATTGTCTTACTCCCTGGAAAGCCAGAAAATGAAAGAGGACTTCCCAGCTCAGAGACTCAGATGTTAGCATCTCTCAGCTGTTTTACAAAAATAAAATCCTAATCCTTAGCAATCTGACTTCTACTTTGGCCTTCTCTTCTGAACTTTGCCCAAAATTTAGACGTACTAAGTATATACAGATTTACATTGGAAGTAACATAATGAAGCGTGAAAAACACAGTAGAGCCTTTTCACTGCCTCTATGCCTCTGAAGTGTCCCCAAAGAGAGGGGACATCCTGCGAGCCTCTGCATACTCAGTGGTGAGAATGAAACAGCCACCCCTCCTTCCAGACCATGGTATTTGGTCCCTTTATTTCCTGGGCTTACAGGTAAAATGAATTTCAGAAGCTATACCTTATGATAAAAGGCCATAATACTTACAGAGAAACACAAAATCTAGATATCGTAGGCTGTATTTGATATTTTATTTTCAGACTGCTTGTAATTTCAGATTGCTGTCTACATACATTTATGTCTATGATTTATAATTTTTTATGAATCTTACCAAAACCAGTAATGGGATTCGCTGGCTTTTCTGAACTTGGCATGGAAGATTCTTAAGCAACAAAACCTTTTTCTATTTTAAGAGACCCACAAGAGGACTTGCTGCATTGCTGGGAGAAGTAGAAAAGCATCAATCACAAGTGCAGCTGTGCTGTGTTCTCTAGGCTTTGCCAGGCACTTCTCATACTATGTAAAAGAAGGTGCAGAGGGACTTCTGTGTCCAATAAGTTCCCCAAACACAATAATGAAAATGTAGTTCCTAGCTGTTAAAAAAACAATCAGCTACTATCTCCCTCCAAACTTGAAGTGCTATCTCTAACACAAACACTAATAAAAGCACTTCATTTTAATTTGGATACCGATTAGAGACACAAAACATGTGGACCTTTACATCCACTTATAGTACTCGATCATGTTCTTGAACATTATTCAGAGCACTCCCTCCTTACTCCTTCAACCAACAAACAAGTATCCTAAGATTCCCCCAATGCCTTTTTTTTTTGGTTCTGCCTCCAAAATCAATTATTATGCTTGGTCCTTTGTCTAGATTCCTGGGGAGCTACTCACAGAAATTTGGAGATTACAAAAATATTTCAAGGTAGGTTTACTAAAGTTTGTTAGCATTGAAAGATACTATAAAAGCAGGCTAAATCCTGTGTTACTGTTAATGCTTATTCTATAGAACATTAAAAAAATAAATTAACTTTTGTAATTTCTCATAACATGCTCATTGCATTATTTATCACAGTGATCACTACAATGACAAGCCAAGATTGCAGTAGCTTCTGAAATCAAAGTGTACACAAGTTTTCATAACCCTCATTAAACATGCCCACACTAATTTCCTAAAAGGGCATTTAACAGTTGCACATCAATCAAAACCTAAAACTACAAAATTTATTAAACACTATGAAAATTCAGTAAATAACTTAAAAGCAGTGATCAGTTCTTTTCAACCCTGGTTTTATCTCCAACTGAAGAGTTCTGGTGCAGCAAACAAACTGAGAAAATTAATAAAAACAATGAACTATGAAGACAGAGCAGAAAATACTTCTGCTCGCCCCCTCTTTGTACTCTACTGGGCATACAATAAAAGAGAAAGGGAAAGCACAACAAAGATTTGGTAACAGTGGTTTTAAATAGTAGAAGTTTGGCATCATACCATTAAAAATTATTCTATTAAAAAGTACGACCATTGGGAGGGAGAAGCTTTAACGTGTAAATATTAGATTCCAATCCATATTGTTGTCCACAATGCCCCTGGAATCAACGAACTGCACAGCTTTTCCAGCTACCCAGCTGGTGTGTCGACAGCTCCATCTAATATTCTTGTCTAGTGATACAGCAAAGACCTCTCATGCCTATTTTTAAATGCACATTTTTAATATTCAATATAATGTTACTCTTTAACAAACTCTTTACTCCCTGCTTCTTTTATGAAGCTTCCCGTGGTCTTTAAAGGGATTGTTAACCAAAGAATGGATCACACTCTTTCTGCATGAGCAGATTCAGAAACACTCCATTAAACCTTTCAGTATTTAATATAAAGAGTAATCTCTCACCTCTGAGGAGATAAGCCAGTTGCTGAGTGATTAACTCTGGTGCCTTTTGAAGAATCTCTTTTACGACTAAAGAGGAAGAACATGCTTGTAACTCCAGGCTCCTGTCACATTGCTCATCTGGATTGATGACTTTGACAACAGCTGATTCCAAACTTTTATCGTCACTATCAAGCAAATTCAAAAGTTATATATATTTATCTTTCTAGCTGTTTAGACAACCCAGTAAAAAGAGTGAAACTTTTTCTTAAATTCTGGACTAAAACACTATTCCTATTGCTACTTGAAGTCTGCTATAAAGCTAAAGAATGTCACAAGGCGTAGTTCTTTTATTGCTTGATACATTCATCATCATCATCATCATCATCATCATCACGGCTGGGCTTCGTGAACGAATATTTGGGAAGGGCTCTACCCATGTTTGTTACAAGTGCATTGGTGGCTAAAAAGGCCAATACGAGATAGACATGTCCGGTTGCAGCTTGATACATTACTAAGACTTAAATGTTTACATTTCCTTCATCAAAATCTATAAAAATAAATAATTTAAAAAAAAAATTCTACATATGCTGAAAATATCCCTCTTTATATAGAGAAGATCTTGCATTTTCTCCATTGAATATTTTGAAAACCTACAAAAATACAGTATTTTTTTTGCATTTAGGCACTTTACATTTCTGTTTACAATAGCAGTAACAAAGCCAAACTAAGTTTAATAACAAAATGCTAATCATAATTCTTTAGAAAATAGAAACACAGAAAGAAATAGTAATAAACAAAAAGCAAATATTACAGACACTTTTTACTGTGAGAAGTGAATGATGCACCAAACTGATGGCTGGTAAAGAATCAACAGTTATAAGATTTATATTATTTCTCTCTTCAGATTTCCCCTACTTTTATTCTTATCCACAAACCTCTCAGAATAGGATGGGGCCATATCACAACAGGATGTTACTCATCTTCAATGAAGTTCTAAAGGGAGTTGGAAGTAAAAAAGAATTCTTCACTCTGGGCAAGACAGGCAGACCATTTTACAAAGGCTTCCTATAGAAGATTCACTATGGACTTGTAAATAGTCCCTCTTAAGAATAGGTATATGGACTACAGTCTCCCACAGAGCAACTCTGAGCCTCTGGCACTGATGACATTTTGAAAAAAATGTCGTAGTTGGTAAGGACTACAATAATCCATCAGCCCTCTTAACAGCACATATGGAAGTGTCTGGGCACCTCCAAATCAACAGAAGAGTTTTAAAGCTAAACTAGCTAAGAATCGGGAAAAAACTCTGATCTTTTATTTAATGGTCACATGAAACCTCCAGACTATCTGAACTAAATTAAAAAAATCTAATCTAAGCTGTGTGAAAATACAAGGTTCTTAAAAATGGAATTTCCATTAGAAGTGATGGAAATACAACTATTCAGCTTCTCACATTCATTGAATGTAAGGAGAGACAAAATATATTTTAACTTCCTTAGCATATCAATATTAATAGCAAAATATCAATATTACAGCAATATAAATATTACTGTAGAAAAAATGTAGTTTTTAAAACAGCTCAAACTCATGTAAGCCATTTTATTGTACATAAACCACAATACCTTGTCAGTATGTTGCTGTTTAAAAGTGTTAAAGACAACTTTCCTTCAGCATTCAGCTGGTGCAAATTGATTTCATCTCGGAAGATATGGAATGACTCTGGGATATTCAGCTCTTCCAGTATAAATTGTGTCTCAGTGAAATAGCTAAAGTCTCTTCTTGGTATGTTCAATACAGGTAAGCAAAGAACGTCAGGAGGACTGACCTGTAACACAGGTGCACATTTGTCAGAATTGCATAAAATAAGACCCATTTTTTAATAGGAAGATATTTTAACTGAGTGACTAATTAGAAACAGCCTGGATTTTCTGTTTGAGTTTTCCTTCCCCCTTTTACTTACTTAAAAAAAAAATTGCCTTTTTTTTTTGTTCATCTGCTTCTGTTTGCCTCCTACAGAGTGAGTGGGAAAGGCAGAAGAGAGAAAGTTTAAAGAATGAAGTACAGAGGTGATTTTTTGCTTCTATTCAATAAGCCACCTAACTGCTATTCAATAAGCCATTTCTTTGTATGGAGGAAAACGTAGATTATTTATATTTTAAAAACGCACCTCTAATAATAACAAAATCATTGTTCAGGATAAAATGTTTTTACAGTAAGTTTTAATTGACTTAACAATAAGATGCCTGTAACAACCTGGAACAAGTGAATTAAGACCACTCAGTCCAATTTTTTCATTACCTTGTCCAGAAAGTAGGCATAGGCCAAGGTAGAAATGAGCGAATCCAAATCACAGGGTTTATTCCCAAGAACAACATGGACTTTTTCCAAGCGTTTGCTCCTTTTCTGTAACAAATTACGAGACAATTGCAATGAGTGACAATGAGAAAAAAAAAAGCCAAATCACCAAGACATTCAAACACAAGTTAAGTATCAGGTGTTGTTTTCAGTTGGAGCACTTTTCAGCACTGGATGAAGGAATAGACTTACTGTGGGATCAGACATTCCTTGCTTTCACAGCTCCCAAGAAAGTCAAGAACTCTCAAGTTTCATAAGAGACCAAACTGTAGAACCCAAATGAGGTCTGACCTGACAGAAGTCCCTTTCGCAGCAAAGTAACAGATAAGCAGCAGCTTCAATGTACATGTGTAAAAGCTTTTCAAAACACCTCACAAATCTAGTAAGAAAAGCAGTCCTAAAGAATATGAAAATACACACAGTAAAACACACGCATACAATAAGCAGCAAATCATACTTTTATTTTTACCTTTTTTTCTTTACTCAGCTGAAATCAGCAAACAGACAAAGTAACTGGCTTTAACCCTGAATCTTCAGAAGCTGAACACAGCTGAAGCAACCATGGGTTTTGAGTTGTTCTCACTAGCAAAGGGAACTGAGTCTGTTCTGCACTTAATAAAATCAGGAGCCTTCCAAACAAGAGGAAAAGAGAGATCTACTGTGTGAAAGCAAAATATATCAGGGAAGTTTCTACCTTTTCATAATTGCACACGCAAAATATCAGGTGACAATATTCTCTTGTGCACACCATTAATGTCAAGCTAGCTGCACGGAAACATTACAGTTAATTTTCTTTCAATGAGCTATGCTTCTTAATTGGAGAAATATACCTGACTAAGCTAAGGGAGATGTTTCAGAACCAAACACATGCAACTAAATATTTTTGTTGTTGGCATTTACAGGCTGATGTACTTTTTGCTATCTTGAATTAGGATTCTGGACAGCAAAAAAGATTTCAGTCTTCCAACAGAAACATATAATTGTTTTATTTTCCCCAATAATTATAAATGTGCAATTTTTTTTAAACTAACCTTTTTTCTTTGCGTCTAGCCTTAGCTCTACCTGGATATAAGGAATTAATTTAGGTCTCTTTCCCTTTATGGAAAGCAGCCATCAAAAAATACCTCTGGGTAATAAAACCAGGACATATTTTCTTCATTCCCTGTGTACTGGAAAAGACAGTCAGCTTTCTGAAGAATACAATGACTGGAACAGATATGTTCATTTACGCTCTAAGTCTTCACTAGCAACAAACTGTCTCCATTTTCCTCTTTTCAATATAATTTTTGTAATATATTCTTATGCAGCATACATTTCCGATTGACCTGCCACCCTAAAGGATGAAAATAAAGTTCATGAGCTCATCCTTTTTTTTTAGTATTTTTTCAGTGAATAGAAGTCTTTTTCTTCAGGCTCATATTAACTGCATAGTAAATGACTCAGCTCTAAAAAAGAAGGAAATTGAATGAACTGACAAATTGACTATTAAATCTACAAAGTTACCCACCTCTAGGAATCCAGTGCAAACAACAATTCTAAAAACTTTCAAAAATTTGCTATTCTATCTCTACATATTCGGTACCTATAAAATTAATTGCCTCCGATTGCTCAGATTCCACAAAACACTATCCCATGTTGAACTAGCAACAGTCATACGTGTTTGTGATGAACACCAGACATATACATGTCATCAGGTACATGAGTATTTTCTCTTGAAAAGCGAAGACATTTTTAAATCTGCACACTTGTTTTTACAACTCACATATTAGCTGTAGTCTCATTACGCAGTTATATTGCAGTCCTAAAATCTGTAGAAAATCATGTAGGAGAACTACCGAAGATGGAAAATTGTCTTTGTCTTCAAAGCCATTTAAAAGAAAAAGAACAATTCACATTCCTAAAAAAAACCCAAAACCCCAAACAAATAACCCAGCATCTTTTACTCATTTGTATGTATTGGTATGCCTCACGCTCTTTATTGCCTCTTCAGGAATGGGGACAGAATAATTACATAAATACTGAAGAATTCTAAGGCTGAAAGTTTCTCGCTCCTACACTTAACTTCTGAGGAAATGACAAAAGCAGGACAATAAGGAGCAGAATACAAAGAGTATATAGTGGAGCATGAAGGATCTGGAGACCATCTCTTTGTAATCCAAACAGGTTAACTAGCCATCTGAGGACTGATTTTTTTACTCCAGCACACCAGAATATCATCAAAACATATAAACCAGGACTGTGGAAGGACAGGCTATCGCCTTGGACTCTTCTCAAGAGCTTAATAAGAACTCTGAGATGGAACTTACTAAACTGAGATTTTAATATGACAGACTAACAGTGAGAGGGTGTATTTCTTGGTCAGGCTGTTAACATACTATCACTCCAAACAACTGCTTTGTTCTTCCAGAATATTTTAGCCTAAGACAAAATATGCAGTCGAGTTAACCCATTAGCTACTGTCGAAGCAATGGGAATGAAAAATAAATTTCTGAAGGCTTTCAGTGGTTTCTGTTGCACACTGCCTTTCTCTGGTGACTCCTGAGAGAATATATTTTTGTTTCATCCACTTTGATTGGTTATTTTAATGACTGTACCTCTCCCTAAGTAAGAATCTGTACATTTCCACAAAATTACTTTGTTTCAGTCACTAATCTCTCATTTTTGACTTTTTGCACAGTGAATTTGCTATGGGTTTTTTCTAATAAAATATGAAAGCTATTCTATTAATGTTAAAATACAAAGTCAGCCTGTAGGCTTAGTAAGAAATTCACATTTCTATTTTGCAGATTTCAAGACCAAAATTGGCCAGAACGAACAGCAAAGACAGTCTCACATCCTGATGTGCCTCACATCCTGATGATGTAACACATGCTGATGAGAGAGAAAAGTGATAGTTAACATCTTGTTTTACCAGTCTGAAGAATTTTCTTCATTACGAGAAATGTAATTTTTGAAGGCATGCCTTCCAATATCAAATCACCTATAATCAAATTTATTACTAATGATAAAGTAAAACAATATTTTAAGAGTTGTAGAATATGTTTGGTCAGCTAATTGTTCTTGTAGTTCTGGAAACTCATAAAGGGAACAAAACATTACAAAAAGAACCTAAAATGCCACCCAATTATTACTAGAAAGCACAAGATGATGTTTGTTACTATAAATGAAACCCTCCATTTTCTGAACAAATATTCTTATCCACATAAATAATCTCTTCTCTGAAAGACAAGTCTGATTTTATGATCCTTGCCGGAACCTTCCAAATTCTATGATTCTATGATACCTTCCTAAAAAACTGCATAAATTTGATATAGATAGAAACAGACCAGACCTGCAGACAATCTGCACCAACCACATTTAGAAGTCTCATCCTAGCAAGTCCCATTAGAAGCAAAGTTAACAGGAAGGTTAGAACCATTGGGCTAAGCAGCAACTCCCATAAGCACACAGATGCAACTCCAACCACACATCAGCTATGGTCTGAGAGCCACCACATGCAAAACTGACCAGCTGAAGACATCTCTATAGCGAAGCAACTAAACAGGTACTTGCTATCTCTGACACAGCTCAGTATATTAATACTGAATTATTTATCTTATTCCCCAGTGATAACCACTAAAACAGCTCAGTGACACAAAACCCACACCAACCAATTCATATGGACAATACTTTCTACTCCAAGCATCTTTATTATTTGAACTGTGGTTTTATCTGTTGCCAGAATCATTGACAATATATTTCAATATATTTATATTTTAATAGATTATTCAAGACAGCATCTCCCTCATTCTATTTTAACACAGGAAACCTTCTTGTACCAACAATACAGATGCTCAATCCGAAATCTGTGCATCCGGTAAAAGATAACTGCCAAACTGCAGAATGCTACTGCAAACATTCATCTTAGCATAAGCTATCCTAGGCCTATGAAAGCAACATTTTTAACCCTCAATCTGATTTGTAGCATCTTAGAAGTTGAAGAATTCAGTACCTTCAGCATGACATCACTTCCTCAAATAACTATTACTGGCAAAAAGGTATCACTATCCATGAGCAAAAATCATGAAATACTCTTTCAGGAACCACCAGGTCTTGTCTGTAACCACAATGCGGCTTACTACAACTTTTAAAGTAATCAAAACCTAGCAAAAAGGAGAGCACTGATAGATGTGGATTTATGTTATGAGGAATAACTGAATAAATTGTTACAAAACTATTTACGTATTCAATAAAATTATATTTTAAAATCAATGGAGCCCTCAGAACCTTTCTTTTCATCTTTCAAGGCTTAGATCTGAACTTATCCTTAATAATATAAACAGAACACTGACAAAATAAGTGTTCCTTGCGACATACTGCCTTTTTTTGTATATTTGGAACAAACATAAGCTATCCCTCAATTCCCACCTCAGACAAAGGTTTTCAAAGAGCATATAAAAGAAATGGCACTCTAGCTCAGGTGACTCCCTCAGCTCTGACACACTCATATGGGAAGTCTCCCCTGTTAATTTGGTACCACCTCTTCTGAGGCTGGGGAAACTGTCTCCTCAGATTCTATGGCTGCCTGTGGTTCAGGAACCAACAGGAATCCAGCATGAGCTACTGTCTGTCACTGTGACTTGATTTCTTACCTATTTTTTCTAGAAGAACAAGGCCCAAGGTAAGCCTTCCACTGACAGTCCTCACATGCTGTTTTAAAGATCTTAGAATCACAGAATGGTCTGGGTTGGAAGGGACCTTCAAGATTATCTAGCTTCAACATCCCACCCATGGGCAGGGACATCTTACATTAGACCATGTTTCTTCCAGCCCCATCCAGCCTGGCCTTGTACACTTACAGGGATGGGGCATCCACAGCTTCTCTGGGCAACCTGTTCTATTGCCTCACCACCCTCACAGTAAAGAATTTCTTCCTAATATCTAATCTAAACCTGCCATTTTTCAGTTCAGGACCATTCCCCCCTGTCCAATTACTACATGGCCTTGTCAAAAGCCCCTTTCCAGCTTTCTTGTAGGCCTCCTTTACGTACTAGAAGGGTGCTCTAAGGTCCTCCTTGAAGCCTTCTCTTCTTCAGCCTGAACATCTCCAACTCTCTCAGCTTGTTTTCACAGGACAAGTGTTTCATCCCTGTGATCAACTTAATGGCTCTCCTTTGGAATCACTCCAACAGGTCCACCTCCTTCTTACATTGGGGAGCCCAGAGCTCCAGGTTGGGGTCTCACCAGTTGAGTAGAGGGGCAGAATCACCTCCCTCGACCTGCTGGCCATGCTGCTTTTGATGCAGTCCAGGATGTAGTTGGCTTTCTGAGCCCCAAGTGCACATTGTTGAGTCACATTGAGCTTTTTGTCCATAAACACTCCCAGGTCTTTTTCCTCAGGGCTGCTCTCAGTCCGTTCTCCACCCAGCCTGTATTTGTATTTGGGATTGCCACAGCCCAGGTGCAGGAGCTTGCACTTGGCCTTGTTGAACTTCATGAGGTCCACACAGGACCACCTTTCAAGCCCTCTGTGGCAGTGAGAGTCATCAGTGATATCTTTTTTTTCCACCCTTCCTGCTCTTCTCTTCACTGAGCAGAATTTTCTTCTGCTCTTCCCCTCTTACAGATCCAATATAGGATTTCACCAACATTTCCTCTCCCCTTATGTAGCTCCTTGAATGGTTTTTTACTTACTCCTACTCAGTAATAATAACCTCCTAAAACTCTCCATATATACTCTCCAAAAATATAACTCTGGAGCATGCCCTCCAAGGGTCAACCAAGCTTATTGCTTATCTTGGAGGTCTAAGGCTGTTTCCTTTTCCACCACCTCATATAGAACTAGTTTGCACAGTCAACTGCTTGCTAATCAGCCAGCTTTGAGAAAAGCAGGCACATGGATGTGAGGCTTCCTCTTACAGGTCTTTCCAAGCAAAGACCCTAGCAGAGAAGCCCGCAACCCAGAAGAAAAAGCTTCAGATCCATAAACTCTATGAGGCTTAGCTGCAATAGGACCAAAATGTGATTAATTCCTACAGCTATCAGAGCTAAAACTATGAGGAATCATGAACTCGCAATACCTCTAAGAATCAAAAAAATGTAAGAGGTTAATGATGAAACTAGAACTCATAAATTAAACTACATAAGAGACCAGTGACCTCTTAGTGCTGACGCTTTTTTGTTTACCTAGATTAAAGGTAAATTGTAAAACACAAACTCTGGATGCCTGGGATAAAATGAATTAAAGAAATTATGTGTCATTTTCAGATGACATCAGTCAGGATAATTCAATTTAGATCAGACCTACACAGATTAACATTCACTTATTGTGGTCAGAAAAGAGATTTATAAACGTCGAGCTACTTCTGGAATCTAGTAAGAGATCTAATTCTTAGATATTTACTACAGAGAAACTCTCATATCTGCTCAGTTTTGTTGTCTATGAACACATAAGAGCCTCAGTATAGCACAACTGCATTTTTATGCAACTGCAGTAAAAATACCATTTCACTGCAAAGATTTTGACTAGGACATATTACCACAGTGATGGATCAAACTACAATATTCCAGTAAAAAATTACATTGTTTCTATTTTTTTTCTTCTGTTAATACAGAATCTGAAATCATCTTGCAAAATAATAAATTCTGAAGATTCAAAATCACAGAATATGCTGAGTTGGACGAGATCATCGAGTCCAACCCTTAGACCTGTACAGGATGATCACCAAGAGTCACACCATGTGACTGACAGTATCATCCAAATACTTCCTGAACTCTGTCACACTTCGTGCTGTGACCACTTCCCTAGGGAGCCTGTTCCAGTGCCCAACCACCCTCTGGGTAAAGAACATTTTTCTAATATCCAGCCTAAACCTCCACTGATGCAACTTCAGGCCGTTCCCTCGTATCCTGTCACTGGTCACCACAGAGAAGAGATCAGTGCCTGCCCCTCGTCTTCCCTTCTGTCATGGTTTGAGATAGCCCCAAAATCCAATTCCCTAGCTCCATTCCCCCTCCCACATCTCAACTTAATGTGAGATGGGTTTTTCCAGACAAAACACACCAGACTCAAAGTGGGGGAAAGGGAATATATTACAATGACTGTACAAATAAATACCATATCACATTATACACACGACCACAAACTATCTCTACCATGACATATGGTATTTACAATGATCAGATCTCTTCTCCCCTCCAAATAAAAGTCCAGGAGGGAAAGAAGGACAGATCCCTTCCAGTCCTGAACAGCAGCATCTTCTGAGGCAGCAGTCTGTCTGTCTTCTCCACATGCAGCAGCTGATAGCTGGCTTTCTGCCAGCACTCACGAGGGAGGTATCCAACCCTCTCTCTCGGCCCCATCGCCTCCAACCGAGGGGTCTTCCGTGGGCTTCGTAACCCCAGACAAGGTCGTATCACCACGTCATATCACGAAGACACAGGGGGGTCTTCGTGACGGTCTGGTATCTCCAGGAGACTCAGCTCCTTGCAGGGCCTCTGTGCCCTGTCTCTCAGGCTGCCACCGTGGCAGCAGTGCAAGGGGGGGAAGAACCAAGGTCAACTCCCCCCGCATTCCATCTGGCCGTCCCGGTCCAGCTCCGGGACGTCTTTTGAGCTTCTTAGCTCCTCTCTCTCTCCGGTGCTGCATGTCTAAAACTCTTCTCCTTAATAGGAGTCCATCTCCCTCTTTTCTCAGAGGGATCTCAAAGGAGTTTTGGGGGGCTGGTACAGTCTTACCCCCAGAACTCTGTCTCTCAGGCTGCTGGCTCTCTTTCTCCCGGCTCTCCTTCCAGGAGTCCTTTCTCTGGTGCTGCATGTTGCTTCTGCTGCTCCTTCAGTTCAGGTCTTATCTCCTGGCTCTCTGCCACCGTTTCTCTGGTCAGTACCTGCTGCTGCTCTGCGCCCATGGAGAAAAACATCTCCCGGCATAACTACAGGCACCTAGCCCAGCTTTATGCTGTTCCAGGTCCCTGCAGCCCCCCAGCCAGGGGCTGGGAGGGCCCCAGAGGGCCCAAGGGCTCAGAGCCCCTTCCTCGTGGCTCTACAACATGGCCACCTCTCCTCAACAACCCAACTACAACTCATCTCTTCCGGTGAGCTTGTGGGATGTTGACATTTTTGCAGGAGCGCCCATTGGGCAAAACTCCAAAACTTCCAGGGGTTTCCACCCCTTGGGGTTTACCACTTTCCTTAGCCTCTGGGGGAAAACAAAGTCCAAACCACGACACCTTCATGAGGAAGTTGTGACTGCAATGAGGTCTCCCCTCAGTCTCCTCTTCTCCAGGCTGAACACAGCAAGTGACCTCAGCCACTTCTCATACAGCTTCCCCTCAAGGCCCTTCACCAGGTCTCTAAGAGCTTAATATCTTTCTTATATTGTGGTGCCCAAAACTGCACACAGTATTCAAGGTGAGGCCACCCCAGTGCAGAGCAGAGCGGGACAATCCCCTCCCTTGACCAGCTGACAATGCTTTGCCTGATGCCCCCCAGGACACAGTTGGCCCTCCTGGCTGCCAGGGCACTGCTGACTCATATTCAACTTGCTGTCGACCAGGACCCCCAGGTCCCTTTCTGTGGCAATGCCTTCCAGCATCTCATTCTCCATACCTTCTAAGGTAACTCCATCTGGTTGGTGATTGCCCAGTCCTCTCATTTGTCAAGGTCTCTCTGCAGGGCCTCCCTGCCTTCAAGGGAGTCAATCAACAGCTCCTCCCAGCTTTGTCAGCTGCAAACTTGCTTAGTATCCCTTCCAGTCCTGCGTTCAAGTCATTTATGAAGCTGTCAAAGAGCACAGGGCCCAAGACAGAGCCCTGTGGAACTCCACTAGTGACAGGTCACCCGTCTGATGTCACCCCATTCACTGTTACCCTCTGTGCTCAACCCGTGAGCCAATTGCTCACCCACCACACGATGTGTTTACCCAGCTGTACATTTTGCTGGACATTTTGTCCAGAAGGATCCTGGGAGAGACAGTATCAAAATGAAATCCAAAAAGATTACATCAACTGGTTTCCCTTGATCAACTAGGTCAGTTGTCATAAAACGAAATCAGGTTTGATGAGTTGGACTTTCCTCTCAGGAGGTTGTGCAGGCTGTGACCAATGACTGTGTTGTCTTTCAGGTATTTTTCAATATTTCCCAGAATACTCTTCTCCCTAACTTTACCAGGCACTGAAGTGAGACTGACAGGCCTGTAGTTTCCAGGGTTCTCCTTCTTGGCCTTCTTGAAAATCAGAACAACATTCACCATTTCCAGTCAGCTGGGACCTCTCCAGATTCCCAAAACTCTTTCTAGCATAAACAGGAACACCTACAAAATGCTCACTGTCTCAAGGCAAAAAAAGTTATCCTCTTCCCTCTCCTTCAGACACATTTACTCCACACACTAACATGCCACAAATGCACACGCAGCAGCCACACACAGCCTTGCTTTCTGAGCTTTTTGCCTCTAATTTCACTAGTTCTTCAGTTCATCAACTGCCATGAAATGACTGCATTTTAGTGCATGGGATGGGACAGTACTTGTCAAGCATAGCAATTCTTTCAAGGAAGGAGCAATATGGC